TTACCAGTTTCTTTATAAATTTTAAATCAATAGCTATAATTTAATCTCATAAATCTGATGGTTTTTACTAATTGACCTTACAGTAAGGTCAAAAATAATGACCTTACTACAGAATTTGCCTTTTTTATGAGATCTATTATGTGAGTTTGAAGTGTGGTCACTTCTAGGCGCTTAAGAGCATAACTCTAACAACACTCATGACAAGAGGATGCTGACACATGGCTATAAAAGTATCGTCAGATACTGTGCATCTATTGGTATTGAAATCATTCTGTGAAATGTGTTCAATTAATTAAATGGAATAGTTGGTTCAAAGCATAGTCTATCATGCAATTTCGGTTAATTTTAACTCGTTTTTACTAAGTGAAGGTTTATTCGGAAAACACATTCATTTATGTAATCGATTTTCAAGATTATTAAAAAAAATTATTTTAAAAATAATGGGGAATTGTTGGATATTTTCAATGATAATAAATGTAAGATAACATCCCACATTGGAAAAGAAAATGAAAATGAGTTACTTAGATAAAGAGGAGTATAAGTCCATTACAATTGGACTTTAATAGACAATGAACCATAGATGGGCTTTTTGGGCTTGGGTGGGCTTGAAATTAATTAAATTTAATATTTAATTATTTATGATGATACTTGGCTGCCAAGTGCCATGTGCAAGTACAAAAAAAATAATATATATTTTTAATTTTTTTCAACAGATAATAACGGTTGGAAACAGACAGAAATAGATTTTGTTTGAAATAAGACACAATTGTGTTTGTTGGTTAACTATTAAAAACAGAAAAATCATTTTTATTTGAAACAAACACAATTGTGTTTGTTGAAAAACTACCTCAGTTGCCTATAAATAGGTCCTCTTTTGAAACAGAAAAAACACAGAAATAATAAAAACAAAACACTCCCTCCTTTCCTTTCAAAATTCTTCAGATTTTTTTGGGTATTATTTTACTGTAGAAAATTATACAGAAGATTAAATAATCGAGTTATTCATCAATGAATGCTCAATGGATCGACTTCGTCAATGTGGAATACAGCCAATCAATGGATTTCATTGTATCCTCGAAGTTTATTGTCTGTAACTCTTTTATATACTATCAATGGGGTAAATAAAATTTAAAGATAGTGACATCGTTATACGTCTTGAAGCTATTTTAGTATTTTCTACTTCGGTTTTCCAACAGAGCGTACTATTAAACTCTTTAAGTTTGTGTTATTTTAATAATAAGTTTATAATTTGACCAAGTTCAAGCTTTGTTTTGGTGGGAAGTGCAGCAGCAGGCCGTGGTTCATGCCGGTGCAACTGGTCCTAGCTATTGTTGCTAGGCCTACTAATGAATCAGTTTGAGTGGATGTGATTTGGGCAGAAACCTTTACTAGCGGCCTTGTCTCAACAAAATTACTCATTCTGTTTTTGTTGTTGCGAAGGAATAAACTGATCCCATTAGGACGTCTTTTCTCTTCATTATTCCCTTGTATTTTATGCCCATTTCCTGCCTGCACAACTGAATAGTTACTCGTCATATCATTTGGAGGAACAGGGATGGTTAAATATGATAATATAGCACTAGCAAATGAAAAGACATTGTACAAGTGCAAGAAAAATGTTACTATTATCAGATGAGTGTTGCTGGCTCTTCTGAAATGGGAGTTGATTATTCTGCAAGCGTAGAACACCTGAGGTACCCCAACAACTTGCAGTTTGGTTTGATGTGGAAAGTTTCCAACCAAAGGGTGAACATGATTCATTCTGATACAGAAAAGTATACAACAGTGTCAGTTAAGAGAAAAGAATAAAAGAACAAAAGAACCAAACCTATATATGAGACAAATAACCAGATTTTATTTAGATTATTCATCTTTTAAAGTCTCAAGTGATATGTACGTAGAATGACAAATGCCACTAAGACCACCTTATCTTCCAAGTGTACTTTCACACGGGATTAGGCACCTAATCTTACCAGAAATATATATATTACAAGTGGTTTCCAAGCATCCTGTACCTCCCATGGTGGGTAGGAAATCAACTTTTCAGAAAAACAAAGTTAGTTTTATTCTGCAAATACAATCATCTTTGACTTTATCTGCCCAATCCTATCAATTCTGTATCACATGATAGACGACTATACTGATATGTGAACTAAAGGGTACCCTTTCCTTTGCCTGACTTTTATTACCTTCCCTATACTACTTTTTATCTTCCAATCATTGTCGTGTAGTAAAAACCTAGTGGCTAAAAGATGAACTGCATTCCAAAATAACATAAAAGGTAGTTAATTTACTGCTAGTCTTAACTTTGATTACACTTCCTCTTACGTTAAGTAATGCATTTTAATCGAAAGATGAGCTATTAGTTGATCCGTTTATCACTACGTGACTTTGCTTGTAAAATTCAGTTCAATCACACTAATCATTATCCTGCCAAACTATATGTATATATATATATATATATATATATTATACTAATACCAAAAGAGATCTTAATCACAAATGCTAATCATCATTAGATTCCCCCATCCATAGATTTATTGGGCCACCACGAGTCATAAACCGAGTTCATTTTAGAGTGAGTTGAAAAGCTAGAGAAAAATTGCAGCCTTTTTGGCACCAACTAAATATCTCTTGAATATATATTTGAATTTAGAATGTATATATATATTTGCTTATCTTTTGGTTTTATCATAAAAAATTTGTGGGAACCAATAGGTTACTTGAACCCCACATCCCAAACTCAAGTAACATTGAGTTTGAAAGAAAGGTGATGATGCTCGGGAGAGTAGGTAAAAACTCAAGTCCTAAACCTAGTTACCTCTTGTGCATGCTAAAGCAAACTTTTTAAGTAAAGCTTTTGTGTGTTTGTTGCATGCTCTGAATCCTAACAAGGATAATATTTGTTCAGGTAATGGCCACTAGGGTCACCCGGAAATCATCTGTAAACATTGCGTTTCCAATGGTCTTCCATTTTCACGCCCATCTATATTGACCTGAGAGGGGGATCAAACCGCCACTCATGACCCAAGAGACTAATGAGTCATCCTCCTAGATTGCATGTTAGTAAAAAGCTAAGCTACAAGATCTAGTTAGGATGATTGTGGTTTCCCAACCCTCTTCCAAGAAAGAAAAGCGCAAGAATAAATTATAGATGACAGAAATGATAAAAAGCAGCCCTGGAATCTACAGCTATCCAAATTGGAAAATTTATTTTAAAGGAAATGAAATAATTGTCACACCAATCTTTTTTCTCTTTGCGTTTTAATTTGCACCATTACATAGCACTTGCCTCATATGGGAAGGAATGAGAGGGAGAGAGGTGTAATGGGTTTATTCAATTAGGAGATTAGAAATAATCAAGTTTTTCAGAGACTGGGGGAATAAAGATGGAGAAGGCCATCATTCTCCTTTGTCTCTTTGCATTCATGATCCTACTTATTTTCTTTCATTATTCTTTCCTACATGAGAAAATGACCTATCATTCCTACATCACTATTCCTGCATAACCCAGTTGACTCCATTTTCTATAGATTAACATCAAAAAGCCTGGCAGACATTAATTCATCAGGCACCTAAAATCAACACCGCCCAAAAGCATTTTCAATATTTTAATTGGCATTTAAGAAGAATAAGCAACGATAATTCAGGGTCAAATTTTTGCATCATGTTCTTGGTAACTTAATGTCTTGACCAAAAACTTTTGGATGATAGCAACAATACCTAATGGTCAGCAATTTCATTGCTCTCTCTCTCTCCTTCTGTCAATGGTAAATCAAGTTATTCACGGCCATGGCCAGTAATTATAAACGACCAATAATTGAGGAAATCTCTTAATTAGCATATTTTTTAATTACCTGGATATCATCTAAGTTATAGAACCTGAAATAATCTCCTCCTTGGCTTCACTTGCCCATTTAGCTATCTACCTTATGTTATGTTGATCATATTTAATTTAAGTGTAAATAGAAATGGAAATGAATATTATATATTTAATTAAAACCAAAAGAAAACACCATTAGAATGCTAGTTTATTATTGACAAAAGGGAATTTTTTCTATTATTATTATTAAGTTATATATAAAAAATATATAGAAATGAACAAAATCATGATTACGCCTGTTAATACAACCGGTAAACTAGGTGAAATCTCTTGAATTACTTCCGACAAATTGAATCTTTTAGCCTAAAGCAACAATGCTTAGTGATTGTTTTCGATGATATTGATCACATAATCATTCTCCTTTTAACCTTCATTTGTATTTTTGTTCTTCATGGTGAGTAAGTTTTGGCCTGACTCTCTTATTTAATGTCACGAAATGGGAAATAATGAGCTTAAAAATAGGAAGAAAATGATTAGAAATCAATGGCAATAATCACTAAAGATGGCCACTGCAAAACCATATCATGGGATCCGGAGAATGATGTTGAGTTGGTGTGGTACAAGGGGCTCGAAAACTAATGAACATGTCATGAGAACAACGTTTGAACCCAAGAAAAAACCCTTTCAACCATACTATCACGATTGAATTGTTCCATCATCTCCAGATGTGAACACATTATCACAACCCATACTAACCAATTACACAAGATTAAAGTGATAATACTTAAAAAGGTCAAAAAATTGAAATAAATCGTTATTTTTTTATTATATTCGATTAAGTTTATATATTTTTATTTTGAATCAAAACTCGGAAAATACAAGATAGAGAAAGATATAGCTTGAATAGTGAGAAACAGAAGAAAAGCAAAGGTGTCACAGGTATTAGGCAATAGAATGATAGTTGGGAAAAGAAATGAGAGGGAAAAAGAAAAGGAAAAAAAATGGAATGAAAGGATAAGATGCAAAATCCTCCAAGGGGACATCATTTTGTTGGCCATAAAATGACACTAGTTAGAAAGTGTACTCAATTACCCCATTTGGTTTTTCCCCATTTCACAACTCTACATCTACACTACATGCATACCAATACCAATTTCTTCTTTCACACCAAAACAAAAGCATTAACTGTTTTAACCTAGTGGAGGGCCCTAAAATGCGCCTGGTGCGTGCAGGTCAGGTGCAGCTTATAAAGTTACGCCGCGCCCGGTTTCGTCGAGGAAGCTGCTGATCGATTAACAAGTAAAGGAGGTGGAAAGCAAAATAAAAATGTCCACAAATGTAGCACCTACCTGGGAATTGGACTTCCTTGAAAGCTGCTCTCTCCAGCCTTGATCCCTTCTTCTTCTTCTTCTTCCTTTCTGCTACAATTATCATTTGTTGATCCTCGCTATTTTTCTTTTTTTTTTTTGGGAAAAAGAAAAAAAAAGCAAATGATCTCCAACGGGTTCAACGATCCATGTCGTCGGATATAAGCTAAACCTTTCTGCACAATCTTCGTTGCTGTCCCTCTCTCTAGTTTCTCACTTTCCCTTCAACGACTCGAAACTAAGTTGTTTTCATTCTTTGTCGCGAGAACCAAAAAATATGATGGCTAAATGCAGCAACTTTAACGGAGTGTACTGCGACGAGAGTTTCGTGATTGATCTCGCAGTTCGATCTTGTAATCGGCATCTGCGGCGAAACTTTTAAAGGATCGTTTTTCCTTTTTGGTTTCCTTCTCTTGTTTGCCGAAGAGGGAATGGGAACGGATAGTCTGTTACTGGCAACGGTGGGACCGCCGATAAAACCACGAGCGGGGTTGAGGAGAAAACAGGCTGGAAGAGGCTCTTACAGAGGAAGCTAGGGGCTTTATTGCAAACAAATAAAGACTTAGTTTGGGGGGGTGATTTTGATTGAAATTTTGCTGTTTTTTAGGTGGGTGGAGTGGGGGGCCATTTTTGAACAAAATTAAAAGTTGGTTTCTTTGACGAGAGTAGAGATGGGTAGCAGTACAAGTAGCAGTGGTTTGCACCAGATACTGAGAGAATCTCTGTCTCAATACGGAGTGGAAGTACGCCGTTTTCTGGAAGCTTAAGCATCGAGCTCGAATGTAAGTAAACTTCCGTCTTTCTATCTTTTTTGTTTCTATTTTATATTTTTTATTTTTAAAGTCGATCATTGTATTTGTTTAATTGATTAATTTGCAGTGTGCTTGTTTTTAGCATAGATTACGAAAAAGCTTATGAACATGTCATCGCGTTGCCTGAGGTCACCTAGTTCGGAGTTTGGGTGCATCAGCATCTAATTATTTGGACTTTATTATCTAAGATGAAAAGGTTTTGTTAAGTTTAGTATTCCAGGTATAGGTGTCATGTTCTGAAATAGGTTGGAATGGCTTCGACCCCTGGAATTGTCATAGGATATTATTCACACCCGTTATTTTCTTCCCATCTACCCCTTTTAGTATTTAATTGCAGGCTGCCGCTTTGAGTTACTGAAATTAGCATACCTTTTTTTAGTTTTTTCTTTAATACTTTTTCTTTATAAAGAAAAAATACCAAAAATGGGCCAATACCACTTCATTAGTTCAAGGATCAGTTTTTTTCAATGGTGTTAAAATTTTTTTGGAAATATTGATATTGAGATTATCAGAAGAGAGTATAAGGAATAGTGACTCTGTTTTACCTTTAATTGTGTGGGCTAGTATGCAGGCCTTTGGTGAAAATACATTGATGTGTTTGCTTGATTGTCATTCCGGGTATTGAACTTACTGCAGGGTGCTGACTTGGGAGGATGCGTACTATGACAATCATGACCAACATGATCCTTCGGAGAATAATTGTTTCCATCATACACTAGAAAACTTGCACAGTGGATATTATTCACATGATCCCCTTGGTTTAGCTGTGGCAAAGATGTCTTATCATGTATATTCTCTAGGGGAAGGGTATGGCTCAATATTCTTCAGTTTTTGTATGTTTTTGCATTTTTATGCAGTAGTTAAAAATTATGATCCAGGATGGAAGGGTTTGAAGTTGGGGTCATGTTCCCCCCTTCAGTCTTATTGCATTTTCATTTTCTTACGTCTGCACTGATCAAACAATTTCAACTTCCAAACTCTGTTTAATTCTAATTATGATTCTGGTTATGCATAATCAAATTTCTGAATTGGAAAAGAAGTGGTTAATCAAGCATGTAGCTTGTCCAACAATTCCAATGAGTATTTATCCCTTGTTTTGCAGGATTGTTGGACAGGTGGCAGTTTCTGGAAAGCATCAGTGGATATTTGCCGATAAGCATGTTAACAGCCCCTGCTCATTGTTTGAGGTGTGGAACTTTACCAAGCAATGATAGCAAACATACTGTTTTGCAGTTGATTTTTGTTTCCATTATTCTCATACTAAATTTTCTGTCTTAATTGGCTTGAATTTCAGTTCTGTGATGGTTGGCAAAGTCAATTTGCAGCAGGGATCAGGGTATGCATGCATTTTTCCACCTCTAAATATTTCTAGTGCAAAGTATTTGAGTTGTGATGATAACCATGGTTCAACACGGAAGTCAACAATTGATTATGTTTCTCGGTCAAAGGTCAAACCTTTTTGGTAGAGCTTGTAGTTTTACTTTTTTTAAATTAGGGGATGGGGGATTTGAACCTTGCTCTTTAGGGGGATCATGCACCAACCAACGAGTCAAATACTCGGGGTGCTGGTAGAGCTGTTTCTCTGAATGAAGGCGTTTTGTTGTGCTTCACTTTCACAGGGCTAGTTTATTTGGCCTCAGCATAAAGTGAATAAAAGTTTTATTTTTCTTTATTTTTCTCCTGGACAGTTTGGAAGTAGATGCACTTCATAATGTTGTCTAAAACTATTTTTTACCTAGAGCTTCTTTTCCTTTGTTATATATATGGTTATTCTGTTAATAGAAGTACTTTTCATTTCTCCTTGTAGACCATTGCTGTTGTTGCTGTTGTTCCACATGGAGTTGTGCAGCTTGGCTCCTTAAATAAAGTAAGATGAGTTCCAATTGTTTTGGTGCATTTCTACTTTATGGATGCTTGTCAATGTATTTACATTGAGTTGATGTTTGTGCAACTTTATTTGGGGTTCTGGAATGGATATCTTGAACCTTCTAAAATTTTTGTTTTATATGAATGTATCGGGCTTGCTTGAAAGATGTTATCTACTTTTGAAGCAGCATCAATAACGTAGTTGGCCTTTTTTTTTTGTTAAGTAGTTGGTTTTTGAAAATATTAATTCTTGTGTGGCTTTGTCCTTGTAATTTTGATACATTTTCTGCAGTATTTCTGTTACCGGTTGAATTCTTTGCTTCTCTGAATTCTCAACTCTATACGTTTATTTTGGATGGACTACACTGGAAATTATGGATTAGAAACGTTCATGATTTAATTTGTTAAAGGCATTTTTGACATGGTAAAGAGTTATTATGTCTTAATAAGGCGGCATATTTATAATTTAATTTCAGTTTTTTGGTTTGAGACATTTCATATGCTTCAGGTATTTAATTAGGCTCTAGTAGATTTTCGACTTGATTATATGTAATACTCAGAACTATGAAGCCTTCTCCAGATTTGACATTTATTATCATTGGTAATAGTGTGTTGTTGCTTGCTGTAGTTTTTAAAGCTCATAGTCTATACTGCATTTATGTCTAGTTTTATTTATTTGAATGGAGCAGGTATTTGAGGATGTGAAGCTACTAAGTCACATCAGAGATGTTTTTTTTGCTCTTCAAGATTCTTCTGTAGGGCATTTTGCCAGTCCAATAGAATATAGCATGAAGAGTTCATTATTTCAGGTATAAATCTCTCTCTCTCTCTCTCTCTCTCTGTGCATGTCAGCATGTGCGAATGCACCTCACACAAAATTACATGTGTATGTATTAATAAGGCCTTGTTGTAATTTCCCTCTCTTTGGCCCAGAAATATATTTTATGGTAATAATATTTTTTTATCTTCATTTTGCAGCTAGATTTACCTACAAAACTTTTAGATTCAGATGGTATTCCTTTAGATAAAACTGTAGATGAGCAAGGGCCGGATGCTTTGTTGCCTGAGTTTTCACATCCCAGGAAGTACAGTGATAGATTGTTTGTTCTTCCACTGTCCAATAATCATCCCAAAGGGGCAGTGGAAGTGGAAAATAAGCATGAAGGACTTGAACTATTCTCAGCAAGAAATGATGAGAGTGCTAAATTACTGACACCAAGATCCAATGTTTCCAATTTGGAGCATCAAAATCAGTTAGGGAGGATTTTGATAAACAATGGGGTATGGAAAGGGGAGAATAGTGGATGGAAAAATTCAAGTTTGGTACCAGAAAATGTCTATGCGAACAATCCTGTTGGCTGCAGGGAACGGTATGGAGTTGATCATGCATACTTCTCCTCAAACTTCCTTCACTCTGCACATTGTGATACCGTTAAGTCGAGTAGTTTGAGTTCTTATCCAAATGAGGTGTTGGATATGCCTGAATCTTCAGACATGAAATTTCAAAAAGACTTAAAGAAGTTGGGGAATCAAAATGATATAAGTCACTTGGACCCGATGAACACTTCCTTGAAGTTTTCTGCTGGATGTGAGCTTTATGAAGCACTGGGACCAGCTTTTATCAGAAAGAGTATCTATGCTGATTGGCAGGCAGAGAATATGGAGGCTGGAGGTAATATCGAAATGCCAGAGGGAATGAGCAGCAGCCAGTTGACTTTTGAATCTGGTTCAGAGAATCTCCTAGAAGCAGTAGTGGCAAATATTTGCCGTAGTGGTAGTGATATCAAAACTAAAAGATCATCTTGCAGATCAGCACCATCATTGTTGACAACTGGAAATACACCAGTGCCTTCAAGCCAAACGAAGCATACCATTAATTCAGCAGGTTATTCAATTAACCAGTCCTCTCTTGTGGAAGATAACGGACAGCACTGCCTGAATTCATCAGAGATATGTGGTGCAATGTCTTCCAAAGGATTTTCTTCTACTTGCCCCAGCAATTGCAGTGAGCAGTTTGAGAGGTCTTCAGAGCCAGCTAAGAACAACAAAAAGAGGGCTAGACCTGGTGAAAATCCCAGGCCAAGGCCAAGGGACAGACAACTTATTCAAGATCGTATTAAGGAGCTAAGGGAGCTTGTGCCCAATGGAGCAAAGGTAAGTTTCTTGCGGTAGGATTCTGATGGTTAATGTTTCTGTCCTTACATATGTCAATCTGCTAAAATTTCAAGAAAAATCTTCAGTGCAGTATTGATTCATTGCTGGAGCGCACAATCAAGCACATGGTCTTTCTGCAAGGCATCACTAAGCATGCTGACAAGCTCAGTAAATGTGCTGAATCAAAGGTAAAGGCCCAGGCAGTTTGCTAGTAAATAATCTTTCCTTTTTTGGCTCAGTAAATTCAATCCTGAGAGGATCTCCATGATATGTTCAAGTGTTGGGGCATATGAATTAAATGATCTCATTTAAGTTTTATTGGAATTTTCTTTATTGGGGTTGCACTTGTGAGGCTTGTCAGACATATTTGTATAGATTGTTGTCATTTTTCATGAAACGGCAACATAATTACTGAACAGTAGCTGATATCAAGTGGTCACAATTTTTCAAGCCCCTATTACTGCAAAAAATGTTTGAATTTACTGTTGATGTAGAATTAGTTGGACATGGCGGAAACACTGACCAATGGTGAGAGCGTACCACGTTTTGTTCTGTCAGTTTATATCTTATTGCTGAATTTTTAGATTCATCACAAGGGAGCTGGCATTCTTGGCTCATCCAATTATGAACAAGGTTCGAGCTGGGCAGTGGAAGTGGGAAGCCATCTAAAAGTTTGCTCAATAGTAGTGGAGAATACAAACAAAAATGGGCAGATGCTTGTAGAGGTGTGTACAGATTCTGTGTAGGTTCATGAGAATTGTTCCTGTTGATATCATTATGGTTTTTGTTTGCTAAGTTTAGGATTTCATTGGTAGGTTGCCTGCTTAGTGTAGGTCTGATAAGGTAGTTTTTTACATTATTTCACTGCTATCAGAAATATAAAATATGTTAGAAATTAAAAAGAATTAAGTATATAAGAAATGGGAAAGTCTGAAAATATGACAACCAAGGATCATGCTAGCTTTAATACAGACAAATTTTTGACTTTACAATTGACTCTTTGATTTTTGTTTCCTCGTTGTGTTAAAAGTATTTTAGTTGATCCATGCAGATGTTGTGTGAGGAGTGTAGTCATTTTCTTGAAATAGCAGAGGCGATCAGAAGCTTGGGCCTGACAATCTTAAAAGGGGTTACAGAAGCACACGGTGAGAAGACTTGGATATGTTTTGTGGTTGAGGTAGTATTTCTTCTCCATGATGAATTATCTGGCATATTAGGCAATAAATCCACATATGAATTATTGCCCTTTTGTAGTACCATTTTGACATCTCAATTTCCGTCTTTAATAGTTAATATTTGCTAGCCACAATATTAAAGCATTTCTTGCTAATTTGTAAGTATTCAAAGTTCCATCACCTACATGCTGGATGCTGAAGATAAATGTCGAAATTGCATGCACTGATGGAAGCAATTATGTCAACAAAAAAACTGCATAACAAGGGAACATTGTTCAGCATCTTGTGAAGTGTTGTGTCATTGTTGTCTTTGCATTTTAAACAAAAAGCAATTGTCTTTGCATTTGAGGCTGTAATCCGTGTGTACCATCAGTTTAGTGCCTGCCCTAAACATACTCATAGGATGCTAATAGAAAATGTCAATGTTTTTCTTTTGGTATGTATGAAATTTATACGTTGACTCAATTATAAGGTATACCTCCTAAACCCCATGCATGTATGAACTCCATTTTTAAGTGCCAAATAATTCAATTTTTTAATCCTCTTTGAATTTTGTTTCTCTTTTCTAAGCTAATTTCCCATTCTGAACCATTGCAGGGACAGAACAATAGAGTTATGCATAGAATGGATATCTTATGGTCGCTTGTCCAAATTTTGCAATCCCAGGCTACAAACTAGCAGCAATGGCTTGTTACCTCTTGGAAGCAGTCATCTTGGCTCCTATGTAAAATATTGTGAGTGGTTTGCGATTTGATTGGCTGAATGGTGTTTGCTTCTTGTCTTTGTCTCCCTGTCCCCTAAAAAATATTTAAGGTAGGGGAAACGGAGACAAAGCATTGCTTAAGAAACATTTTGTGAAGAGTTTTTTGCATCTGTTCCTCATAGTGTGTGGGAAATACCATCTATTGATTTCTTCCCTCCTTTCCCAGTTTACATTAGACATCATGAGTTATTTGTAAGTGGTGATAATATTCCAATCTGGGGTGCATTAGTTGGATATTTTCTATCTGAAACTGCTACAAGCTTTGGTTCTGTACTTATTAACATGTATAGTTTAAAACTTGCTATTAAAGGAACCATCGCACATGAGAAAGAAAAAATTGGACATCAAAAAACATCATTAGCTAAATTACAGACTACTTTATATTAATGCTTCGCAAAATGATGATCTTGTAATATCATTACATCATAAGGTTATTGCAATTTAAAATGAGGAAGGCTTGAGTTTCCATCCAGACCTTTGGACCTGAAATAGGCCATATATTCGGTGACATGAGTTTCTCGGTATATGGGTGGATTATTTTGTGTCAGAAGCTCTTTTATTGGTGCATATGGTTTAAACTTATTTGCTGTGCTTGGATAGAAAAAGCACGCAACTGATGCCCTGGGTACTTGTCCTGCTAGCACCCTGTGCTCCACGCTTCTGAATTTGTCATTTGTGATGAGCTAGTAAAGGGAGAAAAGAGAACCCTAAATTGTCATTCCAGTCGAGGGGAAAAAAGGTGCTTGCATGTATACATGCGTGTTTTTGCATCTCTGTTATGTATAAAAATCAAATGTAGTGATAATAAGGCTATACCTGAATGAAGTCGCCAATGTTTATTACAAAAGCGCCTGGTAGAGAAGGAACATCAACCCAGTTTTTTTGATGAAAAACTTGGAGGCCTCTGACATTTTCTTGAAGGAGAATGGTCAGGAAAGATGGGTCTGAATGCTTGGCTGCACCCAGCGTTAAGTCTGGCTCAGGGCAAGCTGGGTAGTAATGGCACACCAGTGACTCAGTTTCCATGCATCCTGTGCTGGCAAGGTAGTCACTGTGAAGCCCCAAAGCCTCCGATAGCAGTTCGAATAGTGTCTTTCTAAGCTTCCTCATGTGTTTTATGTATTCACTTACAGCTTCCCTGCGAAAGTGATTCAAAAATTTTCAGAGTTTGCATCTGTACTTACACACTTGGTTCTTACATTGCATTTTTCATAATACCTGCACACTGGAGGAAAAAATTCGGGGTCTAGTTGGCCATCATGGAAATCAAACGCTATTGAATCCCTCCAACTGGCAGCTCCTTTGTTTACAAGGAGATTTCCATTGCAGAAATACCTAACAGGTTGCTTATAATCCCGGGAGTACCATTCCATCTTCACTTCCTTTGGTTGCTCATGGAATTGGCGTACACCTTCCAGCATTTTATCCATAATGCAAAGAGGAACTCCATGGTTAACCACTTGAAAAAAACCCCATGTTTCTGATGCCGCCACAGTTCCATCCAATATCTCCTTCCGTCGGCTACCTTGAAAGCCTTCCATATCTATCACTGGAACTCGGAAACCAACTGTACCAGTACCACTAGCATTTGGTATTTGCAGGCTTTCCAGGGGATGGATGAAGAACTTGGGAATCTTGATAGCGCCAGAGTCAACGAGTCCTTTAACCCCGGCTTTAGTCTCATCGAAGTCTTTCACTTCCTTGGCTCTGTCATAACTTGAACCCTCTTCAGAAATCACTTCCATGTCAACAAATATCGGCCGGAAATTACTGAGTGAAACCAAAGTGCAAATTTTAGCTCTTGGTTGTGACCATTTAGGCAGGAAAAAAGAGTGCAAAGATGCTTATTTGAACGAATTGAATGGCGTCTAAAAGGAGCATTGGTTGTGACTCGTGACCATTCATGCATGGAAAGGGTACAAAGATGCTTGGTTGAATGAATGACTAACTGAAAATGGTTAGAACAAATTCCTTTGAGCTTTGATATAGTATTATATTAAAAAAAATGTAGCAAGGAAATGTGTAGTTGAAAAAGACCAAACTCAGCACGATGCCAAAAGTCTCCTTGAGAATCACCATCTTGATACGTTACTACACAGCTTTCATAGGCACAGATTAAACAAATATCTTTTCCTCTGATTGTGTGGCCTTTTCATGTATCACGACTATACCCAAAGCAGAAACACTTTCCTTAGAAGGGAAAAAACGAAACAGGGAAGATGAAGGAGAAAATGGCATTTTTATCTTGATGGGGAAATATTCTTCAAAATCCAGCCAGGCATAACATATAGTCGAACTTGATTGTACAAGCAAACAATTTTTTTACACAAATTGATATAGGCCTCAGCAAGTGAGCATCTTACAGAAAAGATAACATAAATAAAAAGATAAAGAGGGAGAATAGAATGGTCCAAGCCTGACTTACTATTGAGAATTGAGATTAAATTTGATTCAAGGCAGGCATATAAAATCGATGGCATTCAAGATACTATGGTGGATGAGTTGAGTACCAAACGACATTATAGGCTAAAGCCTAAATGAGTTGAACTTGGCCTTTTGCGCTTGGAAGTGGGAATAAATGTTATGAAGATCAGTAGCACAAAACAATAATTAAGTAGCAGCTGTAAGTTTTTATTGGTTTAATTTCAGTTACAAAGTATTTCATTCCTTTTTCCTTTTTTTAATTGTTCATGTCTGTTTCACCGACCATAAATTGTTTAGAGGTTCATAATTTTTGCATACAAATTGAAAATAGGAACATATATAGGGATGGGTAGTTGCTTAGGAGAAATATATGTTAAAGCAGCAATAAAAAGCTTGACAAGTTGAGGGCTACATGGCACCAACCACCAGGATAAATCAAAGCCAACAAAACAAAATTAAGTAGAGTAGTGTATAAAATTAAAATACAAAGACCTTCTTCACATCAATATGACTGCAAAAGGGTCAACAATTACATCAGATCATAAGTTGCTTTTACTTTTAGTTCAAAGTCGAACAAATTTGCGTTCTTTAATTTTGTACCATTATGCAGTTTATTACATCATAGAGAACAACATGAACTCCTTCTCTTCACCATTACATCATAGAAGTAATGGTGAATCCTATGTGCCTGGTCCCTGTAACATGCTAGAAATGTTAGAAAATAGTGTATTTCAAAAAGTTCAAACATCCCACATTGTCAAGATGCATAAGAGGTGAATGCCTTATATATGAAAATAGACTAGGTTCACATGCACACAAAATCGGGCTAGACTTTGAGAAATTTTAGATTTCCTTCCCTGCGCGTGAATATATACGTAAATTGTGCCCAAGTGAATTTTTATACCTTGGCATTAATTTTTTTAAAGTTTTTAGCCTTGATTGAATCATATTCAAACTCTACTTAGCTTACCTAGTTTTGCCCCAACGTTTATCTGACTAAGTTTTACAATAGACACCTAACTCAGTATACAAGTTGACCAGGTTTTTCTCTAACTCCCTAAGTCTTTTTCTCAACTCCCTAATCTGGTTCAACGTTCACCTTACTCCATGCCTATAAAAATAGCCTCACACCTTCACTCTTAACACACACCAAAGCCTTTCATCTTCTAAGCTTTGCTTATCTTCTTTGCCTCCTTACTTCTATACTTGGGTTCTTTCTCTGTTTATGCTATTCCTATCATCCCTTAATAGTTTGTGCAAACTAATAAAGAAGGGTCTATTGAATCTTGGAGGATAACCGCTACAGTCCTTTTGCACCGAGTTTCATATTTTGAAGGGGCAAAAATTATCCTTAAGGACAGTGATACCACGCCTCATACTTCTTCTTACTATTTTTACTTATTTTATTTTATATTCTTTGTTTTCCTTAATATTTTCTAACTATCTTAAGGATAATGGATTCCCACGTTGATAATGTTGCTACCACTATTCCTACTGTTGCCTCAAACCTTACAACCACCATCACTGTCAATGGTTCAACCATGGATCCCATTGCGTTGACCGTTCCTCCTATGCCTTCAGCTTCATATGCCAAACCATTTTCAGATATTTTCAAAATAGAAGTCTTTGATGGCCAAAACTTCAAAAGGTGGCAAGAGAGGATTTTTTCAATCCTTGATGTTCATGTGGTGGCTTTTGCGCTAACTGATTCCAAGCCAGATGATGTCAAGATGTTGGAACCATGGATGCACGCAAATAAGGTATTCAGGCATACAATTATTAGCACACTTTCTAATGAGCTATTTGATGTATACAATCCCTATAAAGAAGCAAAGCAAATATGGGAATCAATGATTGTTAAATACACTGCTGAAGATGTTGGGAAATAGAAGTTCGTGATTGACAATTTTTATCACTAGAAGATGACTGATGATAAGGACATCAAGAGTTAAATCAATGAATACCACAAACTGGTGGATGATTTGAAGATTGAAAAAATCAACTTGTAAGAAAAGTTCGTTGCTGGGTTGTTGATTGAGAAGCTACCAGAATCTTGGAATGGATACAAGCAACAACTAAAGTACAAGGAAAAGCAATTGTCACTTGCAGATTTGATTGTGCACATCATCATTAAAGACACAACCCGAAGGGAGATAAAGGGCTCCAAAGCTAAGGAAGTTACAACTAAAGCCAACCTAGTACAAGGTAGAACCCAACGTCAACAAAGGTACCCCTACGAACCTAATCATAAACCCAAAGCTCCTCATCCCATCTTCAAAAAGAAGGGTAGTTGTTTTGTTTATGGAAAACCAGGGCATCATGTAGCACCATGCAAGAAAAGAGCAAAAGGAAATGACAAACTTGCTAATCCAAGAGTCAACTTGGTCAAAGTAGATGAGTCCGATAATGTAATTGCTACAGTCATTTCACAAGTAAATATGGTGGCCAATCTGAAGGACTGGGTGGTAGACTCAAGTGCTACCAGATATATTTGTGCAAATAGAAATGCCTTTACCTCTTATACTCGAATAGGGGAAGGAGAAGAGACAATATACCTTGGTTATTCTCAAATTGCTCAAGTTATTGGTAAAAGAAAAGTTCTTCTCAAGATCATATTCGACAAGACCCTAGCTTTCAATGATGTTCTTCATATTCCCAATATAAGGGTAAACCTAGTATCTGTGATCTTATTAAGCAAGGTTAGGGTGAAAGTGTCATTCTAATCTGACAAGATCGTGATGACAGAATATAATGTGTTTATGGGTAAGGGTTATTGCAATCAAGGACTCTTTGCACTTAACATTTTCAATATTTTGAATGAAAATGCTAGTTCTTCTGCTTACATGATTGATTCTATTGATTTATGGCATGGTAGACTAAGACATGTTGGCATTTCCTACATTAAGAAAATGCAATCACTTGGTTTAATCTCTAGTATTAAAAATGGATGCTTTAATAAGTGCGAAATATGTGCTGAAACGAAATCAACTAAGAAAACTTGTATTTCAGTAAATAAAGAATTAGAATTGTTAAGTTTAATACATACTGACTTAGGAGATCTAAAACAAACTATGACTAGAGGCGGTAAGCAATACTATGTTACATTTATTGACGATTATTCTAGATTTACTAAAGTTTACTTACTTAGGCATAAAGATGAAGCTTTTGAGATGTTTATTAAATATAAAGTTGAGGTAGAAAATCAACTAAATAAAATGATAAAAAAAGTTAGATTAGATAGAGGGGGTGAATATATACCGATAAATGATATTTGTGAAAAAGAAAGAATAATTCATGAAATTAAGCCTCCATATTCTCTTGAATCAAATGGTATAGCAGAAAGAAAAAATAAAACATTAAAAGAAATGATGAAATCTATGCTTGTTAGTTCTACTGCACATGAAAATTTGTGGGGTGAATCTGTATTATCTGCATGTAATATTCAAAATAGAATACCTTATAGAAAAACTAGTAGGACACCTTATGAATTATGTAAAGGTTATTCTCCTAATTTAAAATATTTGAAAGTGTAGGGGTGTCTAGCTAAGGTAATACTTCCTGAATTTAAGAAGAGAAAAATTGGTTCTAAGACATATGATTGTATGTCTATTGGTTATGCTAAACATAGTGCTGCATATAGATTTGTTGTATTAAAAAGTGATGTTCTTAATTATAATACAGTTATTGAAATAAAAAATGATAAATTTTTTTAGCATATTTTTCCATTAAGAACTGATGCAATTTCTCATGCATCCTTTAATAAAAATGATTTTCAAATTCAAAATCATGATTTGAGAAGAAGTAAAAAACTAAAGAAAGAAAATTTTTTTTGGCAATGATTTTTATACTTGTCTTGTAAATAATGATCCTTTAACTTATGCTGATGAAATTTCTTCAAAATAAAGTTCATTTTGGAAAGAAGCCATACAAAATGAGATTGATTCAATTTTACAAAATCAAACTTGAGAATTAGTTGATTTATCACCTGGAACCAAACCAATTAGTTGTAAATGGATTTTTAAAAGAAAATTTAATCCTTATGGTTCTATTGATAAATACCAAGCTAGATTAGTTGCAAAAAGTTTTACTAAAAAAATAAAATATTGACTATTTTAATACTTTTGCTTCAGTAACAAGAATTACATCTATTCATGTTTTATATACCTTAGTTTCAATTTACAAACTTCTTGTTCATCAAATGGATGTAAAAATTACTTTTTTAAATGGTGATTTAGAAGAAGAAATTTAAATAACACAACCCGAGAGATGTGTTCTTCTTAGCCAAGAAAACAAAGTTTGTAAATTGATTAATCTTTATATGACTTGAAACAAGCACCAAAATAATGACATGAGAATTAATCAAGTTCTTGTTAGT